AAATAAAATTGAATTGAATTGAATTGAACGACCGAGACTGTTGGGCTCGAACCGGCAACCTTCTGATTACAAGACAAACTGCCAGCTCTTGATATAAAGTCTTACTGATCATTTTTCAGATTTTTTCAGACTCCATTAGGACCCCCATTGTGAAAAATATTTGCTTGACAATTACAAATAGTGGAAATTAAAGAGGAATAGTCTGAAGACTAAAGGTCAAAGTGACGGACCTTCTCCCAGCTAAAACCAACATTAGTGTCATGACCTATGACCTCTTACAGGCAGATCTTACCGTCAGGATGCCGTGCCACAGACCCACGTCTTTTTTAAAGTCCAGCACGTTCACTATGGTTTCAGCTGCAGGCAGAGATGGGACAGAAGAGGGTTAAATTACTTATAGATAACCCTGAGACTGCACAGTGTGTCTGCATGTGTGTGTGTGTGTGTCCTTACCCTCAGTGTAGCTGCAGGACTGAGTGAGAGCCTGGCAGTGTGTGAGCAGAGCGATTCTCGTCACAGTGACTCCCAGCACACTGCCGTCCTTACAGGTTTTATACTGGGAGGAAAACAACAGATGGATCATTGAAAGCAAAGCAGAGGGAAGCTGTAAGTGACAGACTCAACCCTGCTGTACCTGTCGTTCCGTACAAAAACACAATCTCATTTCAACTTTGAAGAAATCACATTCGTGGATCTCTGCAAATAGATTATTACTAAAGATAAATGTTGCTGATTATTTATTCCTTTGTTTATAGTTCGTAAAAATCCAGATAATTGCAAAAACATTCATTTTAAAAACAATATAAAATACCACATGCTGATATTTGGAAGTGTGCTTTATCGCTTTCTGGCCTACATACGCAGACTGACGCCACTTTTATGTCTGCAGCTACATGCAGCAACTGGAGTAGGTCACATTAATGTTTCATATATAACCTGTTTTCTCACGTTTATTATTTATTTAATGTAAAACATGTTGAGAAAAACACTATAGAAATAGCACACCCATTTCAATCCAAGCCTAGAAATCAGATTCTTTCTAAAAGTTGATCTTGAGAGAAAGGTGGGCATTTAAAATATGAAACCTGGTTTCCTTCCTGTGACCAGCAGGAGGCGAGCCTTTGACTCATGGTCACATGTAAACAGATGATAAAGCAGAGTATGCTTTGAAAAAAGAAAATTTGTAGATGACTGCCCCCCCCCCCACTTAGTATAGCTACTCCCACCTATACACTAAACTGACTGTTCACTCAGTACACCTGTTCAGCTGCTTGTTAACATTAATATGTAACCAGTTCAAGCTGAGCTGACTCTGAAGCTGGCAGGCTTGTTGGTGTCAGGCTGGTGTAATTCAGAAACTGCTGATCACAGAAACATCTCTGAGATTCACAGAGAATAGTGAGAAAAAGAGAAAACATCCAGTGAGCAGGTCTCTGGGAGGCAATGTCTTGTTGATGGCAGAGGTCAGAAGAGTGCGGCCAGACTGCTTCAAGCATCTCTGAATGAACAACACATTGAACCTCGAAGCAGATGGACGACAGCAGCGGCAGAAGGCCACACTGTGGCCATGCCTGTCAGCTAAGAGCAGGAAACTCAGGTTACAATTTGCACACGCTCACAAAAATTTGGCCACAAAAATGCAGCTGGTAGTGTAATGGTGTGGGGGACATGATCTTTGGCCCTCAGTACCAGCTAAGCATCATTTAACCACCACAGCCTACCTCAGCATCATTGCTCATCTTGTCTATTGTTTTACCAGCTGACACATCTGTAGCAAATGTGTGACACTGTCATGTCAATGTGGACTAAAATCTGTGAGGAATGTTTGTAGAACTTTGTTGAATCTATGGAAGAATTAAGGTCGTGTGGAAAAAGTCTCAGCTGAGTGTATGTCCAGTCTGGCTTTGACCAAAGGTGAGAGAAAATCCAAACTTGGCTACCAGCTCCTTTCAAGCTCACACAAGTTTGATTTCCTTACTGAGTACAAAACCTGACATGAGATTGTCAGCAGGAAGCAGATGCTTCTCGACAGAAATAGTCTGGCACAGGTTGCCGATGTAAACACATACCTTTACACCTACAGATTTTATTCTCTCCACCAGAGAAAGGAAACAAACATGTTTACCACAATTCAAATATTTGTCAATGCAGACATATGCAGTAAGCCTGTAACACTAATCCTATCAGCACAAAGTGCAAACAAACAGCACAAGCAGCAACCCAGCGGTTGGTGAGATGGACCACAGGCAACAGTTTCATTGTGCCTTTGTTTGCGTGTGTGTGTGTGTGTGTGTGTGTGTGTGTGTGTGTGTATTAGCCTCACCTCTATGTAAGCAGTGTCATTATTTGCATCTTTGATGTGGGGGAACCAGTCTCTGGGCGGTTTGGACAGGTGCTTCGACTCTGTTACAAACCACAGCAGCTTCGGCCAACCTGCAGGGGCGAGAGAGAAGCAAAAGGTACGATAAGTAATGAAGAGAGACAGAGGAGTTCTGATATGACTGTCACGATGCTGATATTTGCTGTTTTATTTTGAAAGTCATCTTGGTTTCTTTGGTGGTTTTGAGTCCTCCCCACAGCTGAAAGCCACACTGGGAGCATTTAGCCTGCACAGGATCTTGTATTTGGAGAGGATTGGCTGCTGTGTGGCACTCCTGTGTCTGACCTGCTGCCCTCCTCACCTGCTCCATGGAGCTTAATGTAACTTCCACAGAAAACAACAAGGATGCCCGGGGTTCAAGGTTTCACTTCAGCTGCTACACCCTTGTCTTTATACTGGTGTGGGCGGTGGTAGCATTACTGGACTGGGTAATTGTATGATTGACCCTGATTGTGTTTATCGGTTCTCTGTGAATATTTATACTCAGGTCCAAATGCTTTCTGTGAGTCTTTGTCAAATTATGTTTTATCCAAGTTCCTTTTATCACCTCCTCCGTCTGCACTGGCTGGTCCATTGTTTAGTTTTACCTTTCATGTATGCCGGGCAATTCGATTGGCCAGCTGCTCTGACAGTGACAGCGCTTCCACCAATCACAGAAGCAAAACAGCTTAACAGAGTCCTCACTAACGAGCATTTTTTTCCCTCCCAGTTAGTATTTTCACACCCATGGAAGCGTTTAATGCCGCTGAAAGAAAGAGAAGATTCTTACTGGCACTAACACAGTGTAGGAAGGCGATGATAGTAGTGCAGGGAGTTTCACTCACATTTGTGACTGAAAATAGATGCATGCAGATTGTAAAATGTGGTTTGGAGCATAAAAATATGATGAGATTCAGCACGAAGGAGTTTTCATTTCTTTCAACAAAAACTGCAGTTAAGATGGTCGAGCTGCAGTGAAGAGACGGTTATAGCTACAGCTGCAGAACTCAGCATTTTGTTATTGTAATTACCACAAAAACTTGCGACGGTAGAATCGAACCACCTGTGCAGAAAAGTTCAAAATAAAGAAAACAATCTTTTCAGCTGCTTTCATATACGCTCGCTTTGTTTTACACAGTGACAGCCTAACACAAGCTTACTAATTACTCTGTAAATCTAGATTATTAATAAAAATCTACTGATGAACTATTAGTCAAAGCCACTCAGCAGTCTGATTCAAATGAGCTTTTTTTTCCCAAGCCAGTAAAACTCTGGAGAGTGACAAGATGTTTCTGTGACAGTGTGCTCACTTTGAATGAACACCCTTTCTCTTCTCTCGTGCACATTTAGCAAAGCCACCCATCCCCCCACCCCGCATCACGCCTTTACAACTCAGCTATGATTGATGACTTTCCCTCACCTTTGAACTGTGGGATCTCTCCTGTTGCGCTCTTGGGAAGACCCTTATGGCAGGCATCACTGGTCAGCGCCACAGTAACGCCACAGCTGCCCAACAGGAATCCAATCTGTTGGCTGCCGGCATCCTATTGGATGATACAGAACACGATGAAAAAAATAAAGCTGATGCTTTTGCTGTTCAGATATTTCATAACTACAGTAAATGCAGAGCTATATGTTTGTAAAAGCACAGAATAGAACAGAACAGCCCTTTAATGTTTTTGCACGTATACAGTGAACTTGCAGTTACACTTGTGAACATGCAGCGCTGGTTTAGAAGTGACTCTTGCTGCACTGCTGCTGCAGCCAAAACGTAAATTTTATGGAAAATCCTGCAGCACAAATGCAGGAGGGGGGAAGGGGTTCAAGAGAGGCTACCGACATGCAGCAAAAGGCATTTCTGCTAAGCAAGTCATCACTGTGTAACCATGCCAACCCCTATGCTGGCCACTGCGCTGCAAAGACAAGCAGCTTTGTCTCAGAGTGAGACTAAAGCAGAAACAACTACGATACAGGATGGCATCCAAAAAAGAAGCTGCTGAAATCTGAGGTCACTGAAGGTGAGAGATCAGCAGTTGTAGCTGAGCTGATGTGTTTCCTGTGTGACGGTGGCGCAGCAGGAGGGCCCGTTTCTTGTGTGTCAACTGTATTTGTTTGCTTTCTGCTTAGACGTGATTATTTCCTCAGAAATACTTGTTGCTGGTAAAAGGCTGCAGCTGAAGATCCAAAACATTTTATCAACTGTCTGAGGTATGGATAAGGCCTCTGTGCAAACACGACTGAAATGAAACGCAGCGGGAGTCTGGAGCTCCGGGGGGGCGAGGTGAAATACAGATGTGGCCACAGCAGGTTTATGAAAAATCTAATTACCTAACCTCCAGTAGAGACTAATCCTGCACAAAACAGCTTCAGCAACAGATTTAAAGGAAAGGAACCAGAGAGCTGCAGCCACGGCTAAAGACAGCTGATTTGCAGTGCTCTGAAGTACCTTGCGACTTAGGGGCACCTCTATGGGAACAGGGACCACCTCTGCCAGCAGACAGCCGTAAAAGGCCACCATGAAGGCCACTGGGTCGTTGTTCGGAAACACCAACGCCACCTAGAAGGGAAGGACAGAAGACAGCACTGGGGTTCAGAGAACTGAAATCATTTTCTAAGGCTCAGAAAGCAACACAAGGAGTGAAAATTGCAGTCAGTTTCTAAGCAACACGCAAGTTCATGTAAAGTCACCAGCACATTTATCTGTATGCTCAGCACAAGTTAATTCGCTAGAATGACTAATATACAGCTCTCAGTGTTTATTTGCTTTTCACTGAGAGCAGAGTGAGGAGACTGATAACAGTCTTGTGTCTGTGCACTCAACATGAATCCAGAGCAGATCATTATGTCCACCACTGAAACGTGACGGTGAGGATAACATCACCAACACTGGGCATGTGCGTGAGTTTAATAATCATTACGTTACAAGAAAAAGTGATCGTGGCTACATCTGGCAAAAACACTGTGTGCAGCTCTTTTTGAATGAACAGAGATGAGGCCCAGTATAAACTGTGACGGGCAGGCAGAGCAGGCATCAAGTGTGCTCAACTATCTGAGAGCAGTTAAGGGCGGAGGGTGATCCAAGACCGCAGCACAGAGCAGTCGGCCATCAGTGAGAGTAGTTATGACACTGATTAAGTCAGAAACTGTGCGAACAGGAGGAGCTTTCAAATGCACAGCAGCTGTAGGAGGTCTACAGCTGCTAAAAAAACCCACGAACAATATGAGATGTAGAAGAATTTCAGCTGACGTGGCCTGGCACTGAAATCAGTTGATCTTCCCGCACTGTGGAAGGCTGAACTGAGGCTATGATAGACTTTAGTGCTGGGGATCAATACTCCTTTTATTTAAGAACACTTTAAGAAATCATCCCTTCTGTTCTCTATCAAACGTAACAACAGCCCTTCTTTTTGCCACAGCTGAACACACACTTCTGTATTATGCATCCTGCTGCTGTTTCTCACATTTATGCTGCACGTATTTTTTTTTATCACTGTTCGATATATCAAAATTCTTTGCACCACTACCCTCTCAGACCCATTATGCTTTTCCTAATAAAACTCTCCCCAGGAAAGACTCAATGAAAGTAAAGAAGAGCAGCGAGCTAGCCACACAGTGACATGTGCTCCATTAACCCCGACACCAGCGTCACATCTCCTGACTTTTTCTAGAGGATTTTCTGTTCCACTCCACAGAGAGCTGTTGGGACTGCTTTTTTTATGAAAAGTTGATAACAGCCTCACGTTGCTTTGGTGTCATTTCCACTGCTTGAGCACCTCCCATTTATTGAAACTGGCACTGGTGGTCTGTCCGCTTTGCATATGCATCAGCTGCATATGCAAACTGGACAAACTGGAATTGTAAGCATGTGGTGATGTACTTCTTGCAATCTTTTACTGCTATTCCAGCAAATGTATTTTTCTGAACAGAACAGAAACCTACAGGAGGGCAAAAGCACCTTAAGTGCAGGTTTAAAAGCTTTTTCTTTGTGCTGAACAGAGTCAGGTTAGATTTGCTTCTGCTCGCTGTGCTAAGCTGCAGACTGCAGCTCAATATTCTGCTTACAGACATTACAGTGGTATCAGTATCTCAGTGAAGTATCCCCTTCATTCTCAAGGGAATACAACAGGAGCTTTATTATAGAGACATTGTTTGGTCAAATAAATAATAAAAACTGCATGTCATCATAAATATACCAGCAAATATATAATTATCTGTTTTAATAGATTTAAAAATAAAAAAAGCTAACTTGGCTGAACAAAGTATCAAAGGGTTGGAGTGAAGTGAGCACAAACAAAAAGAAAAAAGTGAAAAGTGAGAGCTGCAGTGGTGGGCGAGTGTGACTCACCCGATCGCCCGGTCGCACCATGGGCTCCTGCTTGCTGCCCAGTTTGTGGAGGATGTTGTAGGCAAGCTTGATGCTGCGAGACCACAGCTTCCCTGCAGGGAGCGGGACACAGGATATGAGGGTGCGATTGAGGGAGGGGGAGGGAGAGAGACTGAGATTGTGTTTGTGTGTTCTTGCACTTCTATTTTGAGGCAATTCAGTCGATAAGAGAGGAAAAAAACTGTCTGAAGTGATGACATTTAAGAGCTTTCAGCAGTCAGGAGAGGTCACTACTGACGTCTGGAGAATGGATGGATTATACTTAAAAGCAAGTGTCTAACGCACAGTTGGTGGACAGGTGCACAGGAAAGAGGAAATCATGTAAAAATGGTGGGGGGAGGGTACATTCCTGCACACTTTCAGCTCTGAGTTTATTAAAGATAGAATATTTAAAAAATGCCGCTACTTCTTTTGCATAATTTGATTTCCCTGTGCAGCCTTGTCATATACTGTTACAGAAGCTGCAAACAGCAAAAAAAAGCTTTAAGTTGTCGAGGTCCCGGGTCCTAAGAAAATCCCCAGATCCCAATC